CAGGAATGCAGAGCAGGCTTGAATTCCCTGTGCCACCAGGGAGGGAAAACACACCCTGCTTTGTCCAGATTTACCCAGGCTCCTCTTCAGCCCCTGTCACTGGGAAGGGGAGAGTGAAACTGCAGCCCCATCCTCTATGGGCTTGGAATTCCCAATCCCTGCTTTGCTGCTGCTTAAGAATATTCAGGGAGTCAACATGTTTTTTCCCAGGCCTCTGGAAAGGGCAGGTGAGGGACCTTGGGCAGGTGAGAGGTGACTTTTCAGTTTCTGTTTCTTGCTGAAAGCAAAGAGTTGTTTGAGGGGGAAGGGAACAGGCCTGTTTTTAACTGTGCAGCAGCCCAGAAACCCACCTGTTTATTTTAGAAATGCCCCAGTGAACATCCCAGCTGCCCAGAAGGGTATTTTTAAGTCTTGTGAAATTGGACATGCAAAGTTTGGGCACAGAATCATGTCCTGTCCCTGAATATTACTGGCTGGAAATAATTCTTTACTCAAAGGATCTGTGCTGAGGAGAAACCAAGTCAGTCTCTGGAGCTGTTTGTTGTGTAAAAACCCCCTTCCAGATGCCAGGTTGTGGAGCCACATGTGGGTCCATGTCTGGGCTGTCCTGGGTGGCTCATTCCAGCCTTAGTACCTTCTAGAAGGGATAATCCAGAAATTAAAAGGAAGCTCAAGTCTCAGTGAGGCCAGATTTCTAAATTAATGCTTCCCCAGAGTCCAGCAGGTTGGTTGGTTTATTTGAAATGATCTTGGATTCTTGGTGCTTCTGGTTTCCCCCACCACAAACTGTCCTCTCCCTTTCCCCCCCACCTCCTGTCTCAATTAATTGGTTGGAGTGGGAGCAGCCACCAGGCTGGGGACTGGCTGTGACCCCAGGACACAAAGCAATCACATCTCATCAGCCACTGGTTTAGGAGACTCAGGCTCCTGAATAAAACAGCACTGGGGCTCCTGCTCCTCTGGGTACATCCAAGGAGCCTTTTCCATGGATGGGAAACTATCCTGAGTGGATTTGGTAAAGGTGAAAGGTCCTGGGAGGTGGGAGGGGGCTGCAGGAAACCTCCACAAAAGCCCCAAAGATGGGATAAATTTAATTGGAAGCTTGTCCTGTGTGGGTCAAGGTGTCAATCCAACAGCAGCTCCTGCTCAGGGGTGCAGGGGGTGTCAGGAATTCCTGGGAGCTTGGGCTGCTTTTATCTGTCATTTTTCATCTGCAGCTGGAAACGAGGTGGGAGGGGGAGAAGCTGGGATTGCTGGGCTGGGAATGGGGGGGAATCCAGGTTGGAACCAACTGGGTGACAATGAGTCCTGTGCTCCAAGTGCTTCCCTGCCCCTGGAAGGGGTGCTCAGCAGAGCCATGTCCAGCCCATCCCTGCCTTTGGGGCAAAACCAGCTGCTTTTTGTGTTGGGGCAGAAACACCAGGTTTTAGCAGCATGTTTGGAGGTGATTGGTGAGTTTTTATCCCATGTTGAATTTCATAAAGTCGTGGAATTCCAAGTTGGAAAGGAACCTCAGGGATCATCTCTTCCAACCTTTCTAGGTGGGAACAGGGCTGAGATGTGGTGGCCCAGGAGTTCTTTTCCCTCCTCTCTTCCCAGCCCTGAATATTTGGGAAGGATGTGTGGGGAAGGCAGCCAAGGGCTCATCCAGCCCATCAGGTGTTTTTGGGATCAGGTGTCTGGAAGGTTTAATTCACCTCAGAAGAAATTTTGCAGATGTGGGTTTGAAACACCAAGTGTTTCCCCCCCAGGGATCCGATCCTGTTCTGGCCTGAGCAGCCTGGGTGCCACGCTTGGCCCCTTGGAATCTGGGGGAGAAAATGAGCAGGAAAGAGACTTTTCTTGTTAAGACAAAGTGCCCCCATCCCCTGGGCTCGCTGGGGCTGCAGGAGGATCCCGGGATCCTCTTGGGATGAGGATCCTCCTCTCTCTGGGGCACTGGAATAGTTTTCCAGGCAGCTGATGGAGCTGCCAAACCCTGGGAAGTAAAGTGGGGACAGGGATTGAGCAGCACAGCCCCCTCTGGATCCTGAGGAGAAGGGAGGACCCTGGGGGTTGTGGAGCAGGGAGGTTCTTCCCCTTGGAGCAGGGAGTTTTTCTGGGAACCAGTGAAATGTTGGCTCAGGAGCAGCAAACCGGGAATATCGGTTCCAAGCCCCGGGTTGCTCCCAACTCTAATCTGTGAGGAGGGAGCTGGGCATCAGTGCTGCTGGTGCCTGGGAGCAGGAGCTGCTCCTGCAAGGCAGAACCAGCTGGGGATGGGATTGGGAAGGAAAAGCAGCAGGACAGGGGAGGGCTGGGGGTGCAGCCGTTCCCTGTGTCCTCCCAGCACAGCACCTGGTGCCCCGGGAGCCCCCAGACCACAGGAATGTCACCTCCTCTCAAGCACCTTTTAACACAAAATCTTGATTTTTAGTATTTTAGCCTGTACCTGAGTGTGTTTTGGCCCAGCCACGGGCACAGACTGAGAAAATAATGATATTCTGGCTCCTTGGTTCCATCCTGGGAAGATGCATTAATTCCTGTCCAGTCACCTCTGCGGTGCCTCCTGCCTCTCCCCAAGTGCTGTAATTGGAGCAGGTTGAGCTGCTCGGGGTGGGCAGAGGTGTCTTTTCTTGAAGAGCTTTTTATTCCAGACGAGCCCAGGTCTCCTGAGCTGTCCCTGGGGAACCAGCTGCTCTCCCCTTGACCTGAGCAGCCTCAGAGTCTATAAATGTTCCAAGGTTTAAGTGAATCTTTGTGCCAGTGCTGCTGCCTGTTCCCCAGAGCCTTCCAGTGTCCAGCCCAGGGCAAGGGGGTGAATCTGGCTCTTTTTTTTTTTTGAGCTTTAATGCATTATTTTAGTGTGCAAAGTTTCCGTGGCACGTGGACATGGTGGGGGTGAGGCTGAATTGCAGCTAAATGGTGTGATAAATAATGGATCAAAACTGGAAGAGGGAGATTTAGGTTGGACACGAGGAGGAAATTCTTGAGTGTGAGGGTGGTGAGACCCTGGGGCAGGTTGCCCAGGGAAGCTGTGGCTGCCCCATCCCTGGGTGTGTCCAAGGGCAGGTTGGATGGGGCTTGGAGCAGCCTGGGCTGGTGGGAGGTGTCCCTGCCCATGCAGGGGGGTGGATCTAGGTGAGCTTTAAGGTCCCTCCCTCTCAAACCATTTAATGATTCTGTGATCTCCCTGCACCCTTCCCTGCAGGGATGAGGTTGGGAGCTCCAGGGCAGTATCAGATGGGGGTAGCACAGCCTCCCTTGCAGAATTTTTGCAAGACAAACATTTTAACACCAGGAGGACTTGGGTTGTAGAGGAGCCACTGGAAGCTGGAGGAGCTGCTCGGGGTGAGGCACCAACCATCCCATCCTTCCTAAGCACAAATGGAGGTGTGAAAGGGGTGGGATTGAGTGGCCAAAAATGTGCTGCACGGGGGGAGCTTCATCTTCCCTGGCACCTGGGTCCTGGGGGGCTGCTCTGCAATCAGGGCTTTGAGGAGACATTTTTGAGGGGAGCCTGAAAGCCATTTAGAAGATGAAGGACTAGAAAGTTGGTGACTGGAAGTGTTGTGAGGTGGGGAAACTGGAGAACATCTTGCTCATGGGGCTGTGAGGGGCGAGGGGAAGAATTTAAGCCTTCATCTGTAGCCTTAATAAGAGGCTGACCTTTCCATCATGTTCACAATTCTGTCACTGCCTTTGGAAGCATCTGGGTTTAAATGCTACATCAATGTCTGGGAGCTGTGGAAGTCAATGGTGTGTCTCAGCACCACGTCCCAGTTCTTTAGGGGAGGGGAAGAAGGTGAATCAGCAGCTTTGGAATTATCAGCTGAGCTGCAGCAGAAAGAGCAGGGAGTGTGTCCCTGCCCTCAGGTTGTCCCCAAAGCCACCAGCTCCTCTGCAGGGCTGGAGGCAGCAGAGCTCAGGCAGGGAAACTCCCTCCCAGGAAACCTGCCCGTGGCTCCATGTGTGTCTGAGCTCCCTGGGAAGGGGTTGGTGATGCCAAAACCAAGTGCTTGAACCTCTGGGGTGGTGCCATCATCCCCTGCCTGGGGACACGTGTCCTTCCTGAGGCCAAAATTGGCTGAAATACCAGTTTGAAGCGTGTCCTGTCGGTGTGAAACAAAACAGCCACGTCCCTTTTCCTCAGCAAAGCCAAGGCTGAGCCTGCTCTGACCCTTTGTGATCCCAGGATTGTCAGGATCCCTGGTGGAACACTCAGGCCTGCAGATTTATGTGACCTTTGCTCGCTGGCAGGGAGCAGAGCTGGTGGTGATGGCTGTCTGATGGTGATGGGTCTCTCTTGGAACATAGAAGCATTACCTTGGAGATAGGAGCTGGCAGGGAACACAAGCTGCTGGATCTTCGAGCCCATTTATCAGTCTGCTTGCCATTTGTATCTCCAGGTGGAGGAAATTGTTACCCACACTGCTGGGAGGCTCTGTAGCTTCTGTTAACTCTTGGCTGCTGGGCTCAGGAGGACATGAATATGGAAAAGGAGGAGCTGACCCAGAGCTGAGGGGTGAATGGGTCCCTGGAGTCCTGGGAGGAGACACTGGGAAGTGTGGTGGGACTGGGGTTACCTGGCTGAGCAGAGCCTGGTCCTTTGGGACATCATCCATCTTCCTTTCAGCTGCTGATCCTTGGCTGCCTGTGGGGCAGGATGAGCACCTCATCTCAGCAGGGTTTCAGTTTTCTCCTTGGCAAAGCAGCAGCTCAGAGGTGACCTCTGGCTCCGGGTCTTTGGAAGTGTCTCTGGGTGCCCGTGGTTCAGAGAGGAGCTTCCCTCTCTTTTGTCTCCCCAGATCCATCTGGCTTCATTTTTGATGTGCAGTCCAACACTGTGATGGCCCAAGGAGGAACCTTTGAAAACATGAAGGAAAAGGTAAATGTGTCCTCTGAGGCTCCACCTCAGCACGTGCCCGGGAAGAGCCCCCGGCCTCTCTGTCTTCATCTCCTCTCTGAGATGAAATATCTTCCTGTCTGGGACCTGAACTGCAGCTCTGTCAAATGCAACATTTTCTTCAGGCTAAATGGTCCTGGCACGTGAAAGTTTTCTCAGGAATCCATCCATGGATCCCAGGAGCTTCTGGGGAGGGGGGGGGTCTGCAGGTTCTGGGTGGCAGCAGCAGGTCCCACCCTCCCTGCTTCTCTCTCCCCAGATCAGTGCTGTGAGGGCCATCGTCCCCAACAGGAGCAACAATGAGATTGTCCTGGTCCTGCAGCACTTTGACAACTGTGTGGACAAAACTGTGCAGGCCTTTATGGAAGGTAATGGGGAGGGGGTCGGTGGGGAGGGAGGGGTTTCACACCTCAGATGTTGCCACTTTCTAAAGGGGGTGTCAGGAGGGTGGGACCAGGCTCTTCCCAGTGGTGCCCAGTGACAGGACAAGGCACAGACTGGAGCACAGGAGGTTCCAGCTGAACATGAGGAGGAACTTGTTGCCTGGGAGGGTGGCAGAGCCCCAGGACAGGCTGCCAGGGAGGTGGTGGAGCCTCCATCCCTGCAGACATTCCCAACCCAGCTGGATGTGTTCCTGTGGGATCTGCTCTAGGGGACCCTGCTCTTGCAGGGGGTTGGACTGGATGATCTCCAGAGGTCCCTTCCCACTCCCCACTCTGTGTTCCACCCCCCTGCACCCTGCAGGGAGTGGATGGGAGAAGCTCCCATCTCTCCCATCTCTCCTGGTGGGAGAAGCTCGTGGAGCTTCTCAGCACAGCCAAGGGCAGGCTGTGCCCACAGGGATAACTCAGGGATGATTCTCTTCCTGAGTTTCAGTCGGAGTTTGTTCAAGGAGGGGTCAGGACAGAGATAAGTGTTTGATGGCTCTTGAGATAAAGGAGGTTTGATAGGAACTGGGAGTGTCTTCAGCTCCCAGAGCTGCTGTTTGCACTTGGAAACCCACATCCCCCCTCGGCTCTGCCTGGTGCTGGATGTTCTGACCTTGGAAGAAGAGGCTGGTGGTGGTGACAGAGCCTGTCACTCTGCAGCTCTGTCCTGCCCGTGCCCCTTTGTGACAGCAAATCCTCAGCCCAGGCACCCTGACACAGCCCGGGGCCCTGGGGAAGACAGACCTGCAGATTCCTGACCTGGATGCAACCTGGGAGTTCAGAACATGCCCCAGGAGGGCTCCAAGTGTCTCACCTTCAGTGTGACAGAGCCAGAGAGAGGATCTTTCTCTCTGTTCCTGGCTCTGTGTTCCAAGGGAGTGGGGTCCTGTTCAGCACCTGTGTCCCCAGAGCAAAAACCAAACCAGGCCTGTAATTCATTACCAGCTAAGCACTGAGACTCAGCTGCAGGAAGCCTGGCAGCTGCTCCAGGTGTGGAGGCACTTCCAGGTGGGAAGGAGCTGGAGTGGAGGCTTCATCCTCTGCTCATCCCTGCCTTTCATTCCAGGCAATGCCAGTGAAGTGCTGAAGGAATGGACTGTGACAGGCAAGAAAAAGGTAACACTGTTAAAATCTGCTTTCTTAAGGTGTTTGTCTTTTTATTTGGGGGATCTTGAGAACAGGAGGAGTTCCTTGTGATTTAGGTGGGGAAAAAGGAACCCAAGAGCAAAGGTGTGAGTGGAGCTGATGGACTGGGCAGCCTGGCTGTGATTTACACCATAACTTCAGGGCGAGTTGTAACCACCATCTCCTCACCCCATTTGCATTCAGTTCCCTTGTCAGACACATGGGGCCAAAAGCTGCAGAAAAAAAAAAAAAAAAAGCCGCCTGGGTTTTACTCGCGGTGTATTCTGTTCTGCTGACTTTCCTTCTCGACAGGGTTGGTGTTGTGGAGTTCCTTGTGATTTAGGTGGGGAAAAAGGAACCCAAGAGCAAAGGTGTGAGTGGAGCTGATGGACTGGGCAGCCTGGCTGTGATTTACACCATAACTTCAGGGCGAGTTGTAACCACCATCTCCTCACCCCATTTGCATTCAGTTCCCTTGTCAGACACATGGGGCCAAAAGCTGCAGAGGAGAAAAAAAAAAAAAGGCTCCTGGGCTTTTTGTCCTCACTGTGCCTTCTGCTCTGCTGACCCTCTGCAGGGCCCCCACCCCACCCACCCAGCCCCACGCTGAAGTAAATCTTGAGCAGGTCCATTTCTTTCAGGGGAGCTCTGTAATTCACTGCTCAGCCAGTCCTGCTGTTCCATTTTTCATCAGTAACCTTTGGAGCTGAACACTTGGGTTTAATGCTGAGCTCCCTGGAAATATATTTCTGCTGTCACGTAAACTTGCTGGAGTGTTTGGCCCTTTTTCTGTGCTCAGAGCTCTGTGAAAGGGTTAAATAAAGATTAGCAGAGTTTCAGTGCTTGATATTATAATACCTAAATCCACCAGGACAAGAATCAAATCATAATTATTCCAAAGGGCTCCTTTGAATATGTGAAAAGCACCAGCACCAAAGGACAAGGCAAAAAAACTGGGATGGAACAGCCTTGTGCTGGGAAAGGAGGAAAGTTCCAACAGATCCAGGCCCTGCTCAGCCCCCCCAGAGCTGCCCTGGGCAGGGGCACCCCCAGAGCCAGGGCTGCTCCTGGGGGTCTCGCCCACAAACCTCTGCTGCTTCCTGGCAGCCCCCAGGGAGGGGAAGGGATTCGTGCCTCATTAATGCCACCAGATCTGTCCTCATTGTTGGATAAATCCCTCCTGTTAATAGGATCAACAGCCAGGCTGGCTGAAAAAGCATTTAATTCAGCTACTTTCAGCCAATAAAGCACAAGCTTAATTTTCCCTTCAGGAATTCAGCTTGACATCTATTATTTATTTATTTATGCACTTATTTATTATTCCCCCCCCCCCGTTTTTTGTGGCGTGGATTCCTAATCCTTAAGAACAAGAAGAAGAAAACCAAACCCAAACCACAAGCTGGGCCCAGCCCTGGGCTCCCAGGGCAAGGGAAATTGGTGCCCACTGAAGAGGAGCAGCAGGAGAAAGGTGGGATCAACGGTTTCCATGTCAACGGCTGCGCCCACGACACCGAGTCCGTGGAGTCGCTCAGCGAAGCTCTGGATGCTCTTTCCATTGATGCCAGAGAGCTGGAGGAGGGCGAGCCCGGGGCCCCAGACATGCCTGAGAGAGCAGGTCAGTCTCTGCAGAGCAGCCAGGAGATGGGCCCCCAGTGTGCCAAAAGCAGAGGAGCTGCCTCCTGCTTCTCTGGTGGTTGGGATCCGGCTGATGAGTGTGGAGGCTCTTCGGGAAGAGCAGCTCGGCGTGGTGTCCTGCTGTGTTTGTGTGTTGTGTGAGGAGGTGGCCAGTGTCCTGCTGCCCTTCTCAGTGGTGTCCTGCTGCCCTTCTCAGTGGTGTCCTGCTGCCCTTCTCAGTGGTGTCCTGCTGCCCTTCTCAGTGGTGTCCTGCTGCCCTTCTCAGTGGTGTCCTGCTGCCCTTCTCAGTGGTGTCCTGCTGCCCTTCTCAGTGGTGTCCTGCTGCCCTTCTCAGTGGTGTCCTGCTGCCCTTCTCAGTGGTGTCCTGCTGCCCTTCTCAGTGGTGTCCTGCTGCCCTTCTCAGTGGTGTCCTGCTGCCCTTCTCAGTGGTGTCCTGCTGCCCTTCTCAGTGGTGTCCTGCTGCCCTTCTCAGTGGTGTCCTGCTGCCCTTCTCAGTGGTGTCCTGCTGCCCTTCTCAGTGGTGTCCTGCTGCCCTTCTCAGTGGTGTCCTGCTGCCCTTCTCAGTGGTGTCCTGCTGCCCTTCTCAGTGGTGTCCTGCTGCCCTTCTCAGTGGTGTCCTGCTGCCCTTCTCAGTGGTGTCCTGCTGCCCTTCTCAGTGGTGTCCTGCTGCCCTTCTCAGTGGTGTCCTGCTGCCCTTCTCAGTGGTGTCCTGCTGCCCTTCTCAGTGGTGTCCTGCTGCCCTTCTCAGTGGTGTCCTGCTGCCCTTCTCAGTGGTGTCCTGCTGCCCTTCTCAGTGGTGTCCTGCTGCCCTTCTCAGTGGTGTCCTGCTGCCCTTCTCAGTGGTGTCCTGCTGCCCTTCTCAGTGGTGTCCTGCTGCCCTTCTCAGTGGTGTCCTGCTGCCCTTCTCAGTGGTGTCCTGCTGCCCTTCTCAGTGGTGTCCTGCTGCCCTTCTCAGTGGTGTCCTGCTGCCCTTCTCAGTGGTGTCCTGCTGCCCTTCTCAGTGGTGTCCTGCTGCCCTTCTCAGTGGTGTCCTGCTGCCCTTCTCAGTGGTGTCCTGCTGCCCTTCTCAGTGGTGTCCTGCTGCCCTTCTCAGTGGTGTCCTGCTGCCCTTCTCAGTGGTGTCCTGCTGCCCTTCTCAGTGGTGTCCTGCTGCCCTTCTCAGTGGTGTCCTGCTGCCCTTCTCAGTGGTGTCCTGCTGCCCTTCTCAGTGGTGTCCTGCTGCCCTTCTCAGTGGTGTCCTGCTGCCCTTCTCAGTGGTGTCCTGCTGCCCTTCTCAGTGGTGTCCTGCTGCCCTTCTCAGTGGTGTCCTGCTGCCCTTCTCAGTGGTGTCCTGCTGCCCTTCTCAGTGGTGTCCTGCTGCCCTTCTCAGTGGTGTCCTGCTGCCCTTCTCAGTGGTGTCCTGCTGCCCTTCTCAGTGGTGTCCTGCTGCCCTTCTCAGTGGTGTCCTGCTGCCCTTCTCAGTGGTGTCCTGCTGCCCTTCTCAGTGGTGTCCTGCTGCCCTTCTCAGTGGTGTCCTGCTGCCCTTCTCAGTGGTGTCCTGCTGCCCTTCTCAGTGGTGTCCTGCTGCCCTTCTCAGTGGTGTCCTGCTGCCCTTCTCAGTGGTGTCCTGCTGCCCTTCTCAGTGGTGTCCTGCTGCCCTTCTCAGTGGTGTCCTGCTGCCCTTCTCAGTGGTGTCCTGCTGCCCTTCTCAGTGGTGTCCTGCTGCCCTTCTCAGTGGTGTCCTGCTGCCCTTCTCAGTGGTGTCCTGCTGCCCTTCTCAGTGGTGTCCTGCTGCCCTTCTCAGTGGTGTCCTGCTGCCCTTCTCAGTGGTGTCCTGCTGCCCTTCTCAGTGGTGTCCTGCTGCCCTTCTCAGTGGTGTCCTGCTGCCCTTCTCAGTGGTGTCCTGCTGCCCTTCTCAGTGGTGTCCTGCTGCCCTTCTCAGTGGTGTCCTGCTGCCCTTCTCAGTGGTGTCCTGCTGCCCTTCTCAGTGGTGTCCTGCTGCCCTTCTCAGTGGTGTCCTGCTGCCCTTCTCAGTGGTGTCCTGCTGCCCTTCTCAGTGGTGTCCTGCTGCCCTTCTCAGTGGTGTCCTGCTGCCCTTCTCAGTGGTGTCCTGCTGCCCTTCTCAGTGGTGTCCTGCTGCCCTTCTCAGTGGTGTCCTGCTGCCCTTCTCAGTGGTGTCCTGCTGCCCTTCTCAGTGGTGTCCTGCTGCCCTTCTCAGTGGTGTCCTGCTGCCCTTCTCAGTGGTGTCCTGCTGCCCTTCTCAGTGGTGTCCTGCTGCCCTTCTCAGTGGTGTCCTGCTGCCCTTCTCAGTGGTGTCCTGCTGCCCTTCTCAGTGGTGTCCTGCTGCCCTTCTCAGTGGTGTCCTGCTGCCCTTCTCAGTGGTGTCCTGCTGCCCTTCTCAGTGGTGTCCTGCTGCCCTTCTCAGTGGTGTCCTGCTGCCCTTCTCAGTGGTGTCCTGCTGCCCTTCTCAGTGGTGTCCTGCTGCCCTTCTCAGTGGTGTCCTGCTGCCCTTCTCAGTGGTGTCCTGCTGCCCTTCTCAGTGGTGTCCTGCTGCCCTTCTCAGTGGTGTCCTGCTGCCCTTCTCAGTGGTGTCCTGCTGCCCTTCTCAGTGGTGTCCTGCTGCCCTTCTCAGTGGTGTCCTGCTGCCCTTCTCAGTGGTGTCCTGCTGCCCTTCTCAGTGGTGTCCTGCTGCCCTTCTCAGTGGTGTCCTGCTGCCCTTCTCAGTGGTGTCCTGCTGCCCTTCTCAGTGGTGTCCTGCTGCCCTTCTCAGTGGTGTCCTGCTGCCCTTCTCAGTGGTGTCCTGCTGCCCTTCTCAGTGGTGTCCTGCTGCCCTTCTCAGTGGTGTCCTGCTGCCCTTCTCAGTGGTGTCCTGCTGCCCTTCTCAGTGGTGTCCTGCTGCCCTTCTCAGTGGTGTCCTGCTGCCCTTCTCAGTGGTGTCCTGCTGCCCTTCTCAGTGGTGTCCTGCTGCCCTTCTCAGTGGTGTCCTGCTGCCCTTCTCAGTGGTGTCCTGCTGCCCTTCTCAGTGGTGTCCTGCTGCCCTTCTCAGTGGTGTCCTGCTGCCCTTCTCAGTGGTGTCCTGCTGCCCTTCTCAGTGGTGTCCTGCTGCCCTTCTCAGTGGTGTCCTGCTGCCCTTCTCAGTGGTGTCCTGCTGCCCTTCTCAGTGGTGTCCTGCTGCCCTTCTCAGTGGTGTCCTGCTGCCCTTCTCAGTGGTGTCCTGCTGCCCTTCTCAGTGGTGTCCTGCTGCCCTTCTCAGTGGTGTCCTGCTGCCCTTCTCAGTGGTGTCCTGCTGCCCTTCTCAGTGGTGTCCTGCTGCCCTTCTCAGTGGTGTCCTGCTGCCCTTCTCAGTGGTGTCCTGCTGCCCTTCTCAGTGGTGTCCTGCTGCCCTTCTCAGTGGTGTCCTGCTGCCCTTCTCAGTGGTGTCCTGCTGCCCTTCTCAGTGGTGTCCTGCTGCCCTTCTCAGTGGTGTCCTGCTGCCCTTCTCAGTGGTGTCCTGCTGCCCTTCTCAGTGGTGTCCTGCTGCCCTTCTCAGTGGTGTCCTGCTGCCCTTCTCAGTGGTGTCCTGCTGCCCTTCTCAGTGGTGTCCTGCTGCCCTTCTCAGTGGTGTCCTGCTGCCCTTCTCAGTGGTGTCCTGCTGCCCTTCTCAGTGGTGTCCTGCTGCCCTTCTCAGTGGTGTCCTGCTGCCCTTCTCAGTGGTGTCCTGCTGCCCTTCTCAGTGGTGTCCTGCTGCCCTTCTCAGTGGTGTCCTGCTGCCCTTCTCAGTGGTGTCCTGCTGCCCTTCTCAGTGGTGTCCTGCTGCCCTTCTCAGTGGTGTCCTGCTGCCCTTCTCAGTGGTGTCCTGCTGCCCTTCTCAGTGGTGTCCTGCTGCCCTTCTCAGTGGTGTCCTGCTGCCCTTCTCAGTGGTGTCCTGCTGCCCTTCTCAGTGGTGTCCTGCTGCCCTTCTCAGTGGTGTCCTGCTGCCCTTCTCAGTGGTGTCCTGCTGCCCTTCTCAGTGGTGTCCTGCTGCCCTTCTCAGTGGTGTCCTGCTGCCCTTCTCAGTGGTGTCCTGCTGCCCTTCTCAGTGGTGTCCTGCTGCCCTTCTCAGTGGTGTCCTGCTGCCCTTCTCAGTGGTGTCCTGCTGCCCTTCTCAGTGGTGTCCTGCTGCCCTTCTCAGTGGTGTCCTGCTGCCCTTCTCAGTGGTGTCCTGCTGCCCTTCTCAGTGGTGTCCTGCTGCCCTTCTCAGTGGTGTCCTGCTGCCCTTCTCAGTGGTGTCCTGCTGCCCTTCTCAGTGGTGTCCTGCTGCCCTTCTCAGTGGTGTCCTGCTGCCCTTCTCAGTGGTGTCCTGCTGCCCTTCTCAGTGGTGTCCTGCTGCCCTTCTCAGTGGTGTCCTGCTGCCCTTCTCAGTGGTGTCCTGCTGCCCTTCTCAGTGGTGTCCTGCTGCCCTTCTCAGTGGTGTCCTGCTGCCCTTCTCAGTGGTGTCCTGCTGCCCTTCTCAGTGGTGTCCTGCTGCCCTTCTCAGTGGTGTCCTGCTGCCCTTCTCAGTGGTGTCCTGCTGCCCTTCTCAGTGGTGTCCTGCTGCCCTTCTCAGTGGTGTCCTGCTGCCCTTCTCAGTGGTGTCCTGCTGCCCTTCTCAGTGGTGTCCTGCTGCCCTTCTCAGTGGTGTCCTGCTGCCCTTCTCAGTGGTGTCCTGCTGCCCTTCTCAGTGGTGTCCTGCTGCCCTTCTCAGTGGTGTCCTGCTGCCCTTCTCAGTGGTGTCCTGCTGCCCTTCTCAGTGGTGTCCTGCTGCCCTTCTCAGTGGTGTCCTGCTGCCCTTCTCAGTGGTGTCCTGCTGCCCTTCTCAGTGGTGTCCTGCTGCCCTTCTCAGTGGTGTCCTGCTGCCCTTCTCAGTGGTGTCCTGCTGCCCTTCTCAGTGGTGTCCTGCTGCCCTTCTCAGTGGTGTCCTGCTGCCCTTCTCAGTGGTGTCCTGCTGCCCTTCTCAGTGGTGTCCTGCTGCCCTTCTCAGTGGTGTCCTGCTGCCCTTCTCAG